CTTCCCACCACCACACCCGGTGTGTTTCAGGTGCTGGACTCGCAGTATGGCATGTACGTGTGGCCCTGCGCCGTAGTCCTGGCCCAGTACCTCTGGGTCCACAGGAGAAGCCTGCCCGGCAAACGGGTGCTGGAGGTACCGTTGACAGACCCCTCTCGACACCCTCCTTGCCTTTAGCTGCAGGGGAGGTGTCCCCCCTCCTGTCTGCACCAACACGTTGCCGTTTCAGGTCGGTGCAGGCGTGAGTCTCCCTGGCGTGCTGGCTGCTAAGTGCGGAGCTGAAGTGATCCTGTCCGACAGCGAGGAGCTGCCCCAGTGCCTGCAGAACTGTCGGAAAAGCTGTCTGATGAACAACCTGCCCCACGTACCTGTCATAGGGCTCACGTGGGGGCGGATATCTCCAGAGCTGCTCTCTCTTGCTCCCATAGACATTATTTTAGGATCAGATGTCTTTTTTGACCCAAAAGGTGTGTTAATACTCCCAGGTATCTTTGATTTGTGACAAACTGCAAGGACTTCATGTCCAAGTAGTACTGGGAACACTGTCGAGGGATCAGGCGAGAGTCTTTATGGTGATACTGTGCTACTGAACTTCTTATTCTTGGGGCAACTCTAGTATTAAGCTGTCCTATAAATACCACTGGAGGGTGGGTGAATAGAAAAATGGAGAAATAGAAAATGGAAAACTGCTTAAGGCCATGCTTCTCAGGTCTGTCATACAGATGCAGTTAGTCTTGTATTGATTTTAAGTTACTGTTTCATATAACCAGGTATATTTTACTATACCTAGAATCCAAAGACTAACCAAGACTGCTTCATCTCCCCAAACTGTACAGACTTTGAAGATATTTTAACTACAATCTACTTCTTGCTGGAAAAGAATCCACATGCTCAATTCTGGACTACTTATCAAGTCCGAAGGTAAACTCTTGCATATTTAAGACTCAAATCTTAATTCCCATCTCCCTGTCTTGGCTCAAAGGATGTTAACTTCTCAGAGGCACCACACCACACTGATTCCAGAGAAGTTCCTCACAGATGTGAATCAGGCTGGTATTAGTCAAGTAAATCCTAGGGGACAAAATCAGCCAAACTAGAAAATAATCCATGTACCACCAATTTACTGTCGACTAGAAAAAACTGTCATCAACTCAGTTTTGTGAACCATTGTATTTAAGTTTGGTGACAGTCTCCTGTAATTACTGCAGAAGTTATAAACTTGGATTACTTTTTCACATGCTGGTATTTCCTCCCCTCAGTGCCGACTGGTCTATCGAAGCTTTGCTCTACAAATGGAAACTGAAGAACACCCACATTCCCTTACATTCTTTCAGCGCAGACAGAGAGCACTTGGCCAGCTCTTCTCTACCAGGGAGACATACAATTGAAATGATGATCATCTCACTAGCACAATCAGATGGTACTTAAGTTTATTCCACTTGTTGGTTCCAATACAAGATGATACTCAACTTTTCAACGTAGCATGGATCTGCAGAAAACAGGCCTGTTTACAGCAAACCTCATGCATATTTTTGGGGGGAAGCAGATCCCCTTTAGCAGTAAAACATGCATTGTAAAAATAAAGCTGTTCAGTTGTTCAGCTATGGCTTTTGAGAAATCTGTGCTCCTCCCCAAAGACCATGTAATAGTTCAAAGACTCAATTCCATTCTGTAAGCCACTACGCAACATAGCTTAACCACCTAACAATCCACAAGATTCAACTTAAATTCACAACTTCAGCTATGAAGAAAAGTTAACTGCACTCTTTCAAGATAAAAAAATATCCCCATAATATCTGTTTCCCAGGACTGAAGCTCTTTCCCAAAGATTCATATACAAAAGCCAGCCCCTTTGTTTTTAAAGGAATCGGTATAGACTGCCACTAGCCATGCAGTCCTGGAACATACAAACTCCTCAGTTTGTAGAAAAGTACTTTTAATCCTTAAATCAAGCCAGATTGCAAGTATTCAGATGTTTCCATTCCCATTTAACATACATGCATAAAGTTAACAAGGCATTACAATAACCTTTGACACATGATGGTTGAAGTTACAATTCATTTGGTATCCAAATCAAGAAAAAAATAATCACTGTAAGATTAGCCACCATCAAGCAGCAGCCTGTTGAGTCAGGGCAAGCACACAGCAAATGCAATTAGTACTGCTCAGTGTGTATCTTCCGTAACAATGTCCCACGGACCTGTCTAATGCTGTGTTCGTAGTCTGGTGCACAATGTTTGGGTTAGTTACAACACTAGTTAAGTTTACCCATAGTAATTTAAAAGCAACCCCAGTGGATTAAATTTGTAAGCAGTAGAATGCATTCAGTTACTACATAGAAGTTAAACATTGACAGTATAATTGCAGAAATCTTTTCAAGCTAAAAATAAGCTGACTCAGACATTAAGTTGAGAAAAGTTAACACAGAAAAATGTTTAATATTAACTACAGAGACAGTGGGTATAGTACAGAATGTTTTAAGCAAAAGATACACCAATCAGTACTTACAAAGGAATGAACCATTTCTTTTCTTAATGTTACATTTCTCATATGTAAGTTCATATATGTAGGTTGGTAAGTTTTACCATTCTGGAAAAAATAAGGTGTGTATATCATCAGCTAGATGTGCTCACTGTATGCTCCATTATTTTTACGCAAGGCCCGGGTGACTGGAAGTGCAGTTGTCAGGCATTTTAATTAACTGGACAGCCATTTGTTTCTGCACGACAAGGCATCGTTACACAGGAGCAATCAGGAGAAAACAGGAAACAGCCAAGCACTCTGCACTGCAACACGCCACCTTAACAGCTAACCAGCATTACTCAACTGCTACACAACTGCGCCTAGTGCACAAAAATACATAAGAGAAGAGATTAGAATTGAGTCTGATAAAACAATCCTTTCAAATATCAACTGTCACCTGAAAAGATTTCTACCAATTTGAATTTGAAGATACTATTTGAATTCAAAGTAAAAAAAGCATTTACAGTAAGTTTCTAATTGAAGTTTTGCAGGATTTTATTTAAGGAATGAAGACAAAACTGAGAATACTTTTTGACAGTTAGCTACTCAGCATATAATGGCTGCACGTTTCCTCAGTATGAAACTGGAGGCAGCAAGTTACCATCAGTTTTAATTTCAAATAGAAGTCAGCACTATATAAACAAAAATGAAGTTTTACCTCAAATATCCAAGCCAATAATGAAATCGGTAGTCGTTCACTTCACTAAATTACAAGAAATTTGAATAACAGCAACAAAATGGCACATAAAATGTAAAATCTGCCACTTGAGGCGCAACTTAAACAAGTAAAAAGTTAGACAAAATGTTACAAAATAACCTTTTCAACAGCTGGTTGCTCGTGCCAGGGGTCTCTCCAATGGGCTGAAGATTCAAGCGATCTTTTCCCCCCAAAGGCGTCCTTTATGTAGATTCTCATTTATCTGATGCATCTAGATTTGAAGAAAGAAAAGTTCAGCCAGGTTTCTACCTTGTCTCTTTTGGCTGGTGGATGACTTCATGTATACTTCTAGTTGTGTTTCAACTGGCTTTGCCTAATATAATTAAGTTTTAGGAATTTCCATAGTGTTCCACCTCCCCCCACGTGTTGCTTTACTTCAGAGGCCAAATGTAAGATTCTGTCAAAATATTTAGTTAAAGAAAAATAAGCATCAGGCTGTAGATCAAGCCACCATTAACTTCAATTCAGCCTGTTCAACAACAGATTATTAAAGAGTTACGTAAAAGTTATAAAACTAATACTTCTTCATGAAGACTTAACTAAACTCTAATTAGCACTCAAAACAAAAAACGTGACTAATTTTGCTACAATTATCTAACTTAAGAGCTAGCTTAGGCCCTTTCCTTTTAAAAATAGGACCAAACAGTTTGAAGGGTTAAAGACACACTATCCTTTCCCCGCCCGGTGTATCCTTAGATGCCTCTTCAAGATGTCAACTCGAGGAAAAACTAGTTTCCGTGGTTTTCTCGTTGCAAGGAATTTGCCACTTTTCTAGAACAGTTATTACCTCCAGTCAGTATAACGGCCACTGAACCGATCTTCCATTATAAAAGGATAGTGTATCTTTAACATTTAAAGACAAACCTGCTCCAATACACGCCCACAGAAACTGGTCCCTGGAGGATCAGCCAAATCAGTTAAAATCTGCAATACTGGCCAATATTCTTTTAGCAAACAGGAGACCGCAGCTTTAAAGGGGAAAATGCAGATGTTGGATAAATACAGTAAGAAATAGTCATTTTCATCATAGGTTGCGTCTCATACAATATTTTATTAAAACCAAGCCATTAATCTCTCAATAAAACATTTTCTCTGTAAAAAAATTTCTCTGTAGAAAGCCCTTTGGTATTAATTTCCCTAAACCAATAACCAAAAAGCACAGCTCAAGAAAAAAAACAAAACACCAAACAACTAACAATGTGCCCCATTAGGATTCACTTGGTTCAGGCTATTAATACTCTAAGAACTACCCAACACCCCACCTAAGTGCTATAATAAAGTAACATGCAACATGTGCTGATCCCGAGGTACATTACCATGTTCCTAAGAGGATACAGCTCCTTCTTCTTCAGGAGACTTGGGAGGGCTCTTAGACCTGGATCTAGAGTTGGATTCCCTCTTTGAGGCAGGAGGAGGGCTTCTAGATCTAGACCGGGATCTTGACCTGGACCGGGATCTGGAGACAGATGAGGACTTTGACTTGGATCTCCTGGCAGACCTGGACTTTGAGGTGGAGCGAGACCGAGAGCGTGTGCGAGACCGGGATTTGGATCGACTGTAGCGGGACCGACTGCGGGACCTAGAGCGGCTCCTGCTTCTAGATCGGCTGCGACGGCGTCTTCTAGGACTAAAACATACCAGGAAGAAAACAAAAAAGCACGTTAAAAGTTGAACACGGGTGGCGCAACAGACTTCGGCAACTACTTCGGGACAGGGAGAGCGGAACGCGACTCACGTGGGCAAGAAAATGAGTGTTAAGAGGGCGCCATTGTTCAGAGTGAGTGGCCGGGGGCTAA